TTTTTTTTTTTTTTTTTTTTTTTTTTTTTTTTTTTTTTTTTTTTTTGAATCACATTCATCTCAAGTTTAAAACCTTTATTTTATTTTATTTTTATTTGTAACAAATTTAAAACCTTTAGTTAGTTTCTTACTCTGACGTCTTTGTGATCAAAACAAATCTGAAATATAACGACAGAACCAAAAACCCTAGTTTCATTTTACAGACGTCAAACAAACAATAAGAGGCCCATGTACGGCCCATTATAAGCAAACCCTAGTTTCATTTTTTGACCTAGACTATAAAAGACCATAACTTCACACGATCTCCACCTCTCTACGCCACTTTCGAATCGAGAAGAAACCCAAACCCTCGACCCTCTCTCTCTCTCCCCCAAAAAAACCCTAACCATGGCCGAAGGACTCGTACTCAAGGGCACGATGCGCGCCCACACCGACATGGTCACCGCCATCGCAACCCCAATCGACAACTCCGACATCATCGTCACATCATCCCGCGACAAATCCATCATCCTCTGGAAACTCACCAAAGACGACAAGTCCTACGGCGTCGCCCAGCGTCGTCTCACCGGCCACTCCCACTTCGTCGAAGACGTCGTCCTCTCCTCCGACGGGCAGTTCGCTCTCTCCGGATCCTGGGACGGAGAGCTTCGTCTCTGGGACTTAGCCACCGGAGTCTCCACCCGCAGATTCGTTGGACACACCAAAGACGTCCTCTCCGTGGCCTTCTCGGTGGATAACCGTCAGATCGTGTCGGCCTCTCGTGACCGTACGATCAAGCTCTGGAACACGCTCGGTGAGTGTAAGTACACGATCTCTGAAGCTGATGGGCATAAGGATTGGATTAGCTGTGTTAGGTTTAGTCCCAACACGCTTGAGCCGACCGTTGTGTCCGCTTCGTGGGATAAGACTGTGAAGGTTTGGAATCTTCAGAACTGTAAGCTGAAGAGCTCTCTCGCTGGGCACTCGGGGTATCTCAACACTGTTGCGGTTTCGCCTGATGGTTCGTTGTGTGCGAGTGGTGGGAAAGATGGTGTGATTTTGTTGTGGGATTTGGCTGAGGGGAAGAAGTTGTACTCGCTTGAGGGCGGGTCGATTATTCACTCGCTTTGCTTTAGTCCGAATAGGTACTGGTTGTGTGCTGCGACGGAGAGCAGTATTAAGATTTGGGATCTGGAGAGCAAGACTGTTGTTGATGAGTTGAAGGTTGACCTTAAGGCGGAGGCAGAGAAGGATGGTGGTGTCGGAACTGGTAACCAGAAGAAGGTAATGTCGTTTATTGTTACAGTTTTGATAGTAATGGGTTATCTGTTCATGCATGACATTGATTAGTTTACGGAATACATGAAAACTAGTGCAGAAAGTATATTGGTGTTTATCTTTAATTACTAAAAGGTTGAAATTTGTTTATAAATTGTGTTCATAGGAATCGTTTCATACAATTATACTAGTTGAGAAAGTATACTGGGTTATTCTTTACTAATGAAAAGTTGAAACTTTGGTTTGATGTTATGTATATTTTCAGAGGAATCATTTCCCTTTTAGCTTGACGATTGTATGTGTTTCTTGAGACTGATAGATGTTTATAAAATTTCGAAATGGTACAGGTGAACTACTGCACAAGCTTGAACTGGAGTGCAGATGGAAGCACACTGTTCAGTGGTTACACTGATGGAGTTGTCAGGGTCTGGGGTGTTGGTCGTTACTAGAGACCTATATGTTACCGAATCTCTCATGTTTTTGAAGTTTTCCTTATGTATTAGCCGCACCAAGAACCTCTTTATTTTTGCAATTTTTGTTTAATTCCAGAAAAGAAACTAAGTTGGAATGTTTTATCCCCTGATTATCATTACTCATTTGCGATCATAAGAATTGGTTTTTGTGGTTTAATCTTTCACGTGAATTGTCTCCAACTTTCAGCTCCTTTATACTAGATGAGTCTGTCATGTTTATTCATCTAAATCTTAGAGCATGTGTATCGGTGTCCTAATGGGCGTCCTTAGCTGAATTATTAGGCAAAAATAAATGAAAAAGAGTCTAATTACGCAGGACGTTCTTAAATTAAACAACTTTCGTGGGCGTTTTTATTTGCCACGTGTGGTTTTGCTAGTGGCTGAACGAAAATGTTTGGGTAAACCTTTCTTCTTTTTTCATTTCGTGTGGGAGACTGAGAGAGCTTTGTGGCGAAGGCGATTTTTACCGGAGGCCATAATAGTCGATTCTCGGTCCATCTGCGTCGGCGATTCTCGATTCAACTAGCTCGGCGATTCATCTCCGGCATCTCTTCTGTTCTATCTCCGTTCGGTGGTGGTGTCTCATTCAAGGGAGTGAACCTTCGTCTTCCTTCCACCGTCGATTCGAAGGTATATTCATGGTTGCATTGATGTTGTTTTCGGTTTACCTTTACCCGATCATGATGCAGATGTTGTCGTTCTCGATCTAGGTCATCGGAACCCTAGATTAATTTTAGATTTGGGGTTTTCAAAAATTTATTCTGTCTTTGACATCATCGGTCATTGATTTCGCCTCTCATTGATTTTTTTCTTTGATTTCGTGCTTGACTTTGTCTTTTATTCGTCTTTGATTTCGACTTGTTGATTAAGTTCAAGTCTTGTAAATAATGTCTGTGTTTGTTGTATATAAAACCGAAATCATGTTCGACTGATTAGAGCAAGAAATAGATTATGTGTTCGACCATTGATTAGAGTATTCACAATGTTTGTTTTCAGTTCTTTGACATTATTTGTCATAGTTTTGATAATTGTCTGGTCGTTTACTCTTTCAGTTTTGTTAACCTGGACAAGTAAGAAGAACACACATTTCGTTGAAAGAAAGGTAATGGTCTTACACTTAATTGAAACGGTCTGTTTTTTAAGCTTGTTTAGTGTAAAGTAACTGAAGCTTGTTTTAGTGTAAAGTAACTATAAGCTTGTTTTAGTGTAAAGTAACTAAGGTGATATAGCAATCTAGTTCGCATCAGATGAGTAAAGTAAACGACCATTTGATGCTGGTTGGTGTAAAAGTGATAGCTTTATAGGTGTGTATTAACTCGTGAAAAGACTGAGGTAGTTTATGGATAGAGCATTAATACGAGAGGGTCTCTGGAATGATAATCCCATTGATTGA